AGCGCCCTGCGCCTCGCGGGGAGGATCGTGCCCCGGCCGCCGCCTGCGGGCTGCCGTGCAGTAACGTAGCGGTGAACGAGCGGGTAGACACGGGCGGGGCGCGCCGGGGGCCCCAGAAGGCGCCTAGGGTCTGTCCAGAGCCTCCCTCGGGGAGACTCGCGTCTTTTGTTTCCCTGCTCGTTCCTCAGCCCGTGCCTTCCTAGCAGCTTCCCTCCGTCGGACCCGCTGGCGGGAGGAGCCGGACCGCGGGTTTGCTCGCGCCGCCGCCGCCCCGCGCGGCTGTTCCGGGCCGGCCGCTCCGCGGAGCGGGGGGGCCCGCGGCGGCGGCGGCGGGGCGCGAGGGCGGAGCGGCCCCGCGGCGCGGAGCGGAGCGGCCCGGTTTGCTCTGCCTTGCGGGGCTGAGGGAATCGCGGCTTTCCTGCGTGAGCAGCCCTCATGGGTAGTGGCAAGGCTTAACGTGGAGTGCAAGAACCGCACCGTTTCTGAAGAACGCCCCTCGGCTTTGTGAATGGTGTTTTACACTGGAGCATGGCGTCCTAGGGCCCTACAGATCTGCAGCTTGTTTTCAGTGACATGAAAAAGATGTACGTGCAACTTCGTGGTTGCTCTGCTGGAAATACCCCGAGTTGGTATTGTTGTTGGTATTTTTTTCTCAAATAGAAGATTCCTTGTGTGCGATAGATCTGTCTGCTTTGAGAAGCAGATATATTTTTGCATGAAACACTTCTTCAGGTGATTGTGACTTCTGCCTTGTTAATCACTGTTTGAAACTGTGTCAGTTATGAAGGTGTATCGTTGAATCAGGATTCATACAAATACAGGATTTTTTCCCCCTTAAAGGTCTGCTTGAAGTATATAGTCTTCTTTTATTGAGCACTCCTGCTGTTCTAATGTAAGTCTGAAGGGCATAGTTACATCTTTCTCTTTTGCAAGCCTGCTGCTTATGTCCCAGAAGATCTGTGAATGTCTATGTTCATGTTGACCCTTTCTGTTAGAGCGTTTGTGGATGTTTGCTAGAGTACTGCTTTCTTAAGTTCACTTTGCTAATAGAAAATTATTTGGGCTGCGTGAAAGGGAGGCAGTTGTTCTTAGTGTGTTGTTCTCTTTTGAATGGTTTTCCAAAGAATGAGATTTTTGGTATAAGACGATCTGCTAAGCAGTGAAAGAACAAGAGGTTTTCCATCCCTTCTTTAAAGAAGAAATTTATATATTTTTCCTTGAAATGTCTAGCTTTCTTCTTGGGTCATTTTCCCAGGAAGATTGTTTTCATGCTGTCAAGTATGAAAAAGGATTTAGATTAGGAGTTGCATTTTAAAATGACAGATTATGAAAGTTAAGGTGTTATTTAAGTGAGGAATTCTTATTGTATGGTGTGTTGAGGTGACTGCTAGATCTGTTTGCTGTGTTGAGGTGACTGTCACCGCTCTCTAGAGCTGTCTGTGAAATACAATTCAGTTTCAGCAATTCGTGTGACACTTGGAAAACTGCTTATCTGCAGCTCTTGGGAGATTTCTGTTTTGTGGCTTTTGATGTTGCTTTGTTCAAGTAAGAAGATGCACAGTTGGAGGAAGAAGAGTTGTTTGTGCCGATCGGTAGAGCAGGGATTTGTTAAAATCCAGATTCCTAAATATTTACTTATTAATTTACCTTTGAGAGATAGTGATTTGTTCAGCTATTGGAAATGGGGGGGTGTGGGGGAGGCACTTTTGCTGTTTTCTGGTTCTTTTGGGATGATATTTATGTTTTGAAACAATACAATAACTGCAATGCAATCGTCAAAAAGTGATGCAGATATCCCGTATTAGAAAATGCACTCTTACTCTTTTTGTTGCTGTATGTTTCAGTGCCTTGTGGTGGTCTCAGGATTGAACTGAATAGACAGTTCTTTGTGGACTGTTACTGCTCTTGTGTTGCCTGCATTGATTTTTGCCTCCATTTATTCTTTATTGCAGTCTAAAAGTTGGTTTTAATTGGTTGCCCACAGGATTGGCTTGGCTTCTGCTACTTGTTAAGAAAAAAAAACATCTGTCTTTGCAGGTAAGAGACTTTGACTTGAAGACTTCTTTTTATGCATATTGAGTATATAATTAAGACATATTTGCAGCTTTTGGAGCCTCTGAATTGGTATCAGAGCAGCTGGGTCAAATTACCTAGTTTTTCTTATTTGACTCTCCCCGTGATGGTGGTTCTGGCCACGTTGTTCTTGTAAACAGAATTTTATGCCAAACTCATGTTTTATTTTTTCATTAGCACGTGGTAGTCCTGAAAATCTCCCAATTACTCTGCCCTGTTTGAAAACGTAGTTATTTTGTTGCAGGCCGCAAGTCTGCCTGTTTCAAACTATTGGAAGGTGGAAGTGTATAACAGTTGGTTCTAATTAGGTTTGCAGCAGTTCAAAGATCACATAGTCATCTCTGAGCTAATTTGAAGCTATGCTAATCCAGCAGGTTAATTTTAGCCTTTAAAAAAAACAAAACAAAACAAAAAAAACCCCCAGTGTTTTGCAGTTTTAGCTGTTGCTAAACAGTCACAACCCAGATGCTTTAAATTCCTCTTAGAACACCAACGTTATTCCAGTTCCTAGTATTTAAGCAAGAATTGTCAAATATGTTGTGTGCGTGTGCTGTGTGGGTATTGTGGACTAACACTCCCTAGCATTAGGCTGAGTCTTCTGAACTTGTTTTAACTTGAGAAATGCATATGTCTTAAAAGGCTACCCAGTGTTTCCTGGTTTACAGTTTTATACATATGCCCCAGTTCCTGCTTATTTTACTAACTGGTACATGAATGTAAGAGATAACATTGTCCTTTAGTGCTGTACACTCTTTTCTAATGTAATATCAGTGTTTCTGAAGACATGGTAATCAAGATGGATAACCATGTTTTTAAAGATTATTGAATGACTTTAACTGAATTGTTTGTTGGCAGGTCTCTAGTTTTCCTTTGTGGTCTCGACATGATAGATTGTATGGTTTAGCTGTAGTATAACTTCTGATTTTTATGCTTCCTGTCTTTTAATAAGTGTTTAAAATACCTCCTCATTGAGGGGGTAAAAAAAAACCTCTGAAAGCATCTCTAGTGACCCAACAAAAAGCCTCCAATGTACATTTAATAGGCATGTGGCCTGCTTTGTGCCTGCAGTTAATTTTGCCCCTTAGATTTGATCTTTTACAAATTAACACTGAAATATTGGAGCAGGCTGTGCTTGTTCGTTCGCTTGAAAGTTTGATTAGACTATTGTCGCCTAAGTGCCTTTTGAAAGAAATCTGACTTTCTGAGTCAGATTTGACTGACTTGTGCTTAGGGTCTGAGATTTGGTCTTGTTGTTGCACTGTTAGATTTTTTTTTTCTCTCTCAAATCACAGAGACCAAAGTTAATGCTCTATTAAAGCACTGAGAGTCTGGGTAACTTTGAAGCGATGTCCCTTTGAGTTGACAAAATATACTTGAGGTCTTTTAAAATTCTTTTTCTTAATATCCTGCTACTGTTAGTTTGTGCCTGATGTCAAGCACTTAATTAGCGTCGTTAATGGACTTAGTTACACTGAGGTCATTGTGGCCAGTTTTTCTTGCAAGTGTATGCTGTAAGTGGCTAAACGATGTTTTCCCAAGATCTAAATAGCATGCTTAGCAAAGCAGCTTTAAAATATCAAAATATCCTTCAGCATCTCTAATGAAATCTAAATGAAATCTTGAATTAAAAGCAGAATTGAGGTACTCGCATTATCCCAAAGTTACATAAATGTTCAAATGATTTATTATTGCTTTATTAGTTTTCTTCTGGACTAGATTCACAGAATCATTAAGAAGTATGCTTACCCAACAGGGTCTCAATTCTGATAAAGAAAACTCGTTCTAGAACAGTAATCTGAGCAGAAAAACCTCTCCAAGTTGTCTCTGTTTAACTAATGGCCATATCAGATTGCCCATATCAGATTGTCATTAGCAAGCAAATGACTGTGAAGAAATAATCTCCGTTTTGCTGTAGAAAGTTGTACTTCAGGAATGTCATAAAAATGAGTTTTAGAAATTTTTAAAACATAGTATAAAATATGTAAGCATCTTTGCTTTTAAAATTATTGTTTATTTAAATGACTTTTAGTTAATAAAGCATAGATGTAGTAGCTGGGATGCTTTTATCCTGTTTACTTGCTTCAGGATCATGTAATTTGAAACCAATCCTGTAGCATAATGCCCCATGTTTCTTTTAAATTTGTCTAACCCTACTCTCAATCTCTGAAACTAAAGTTAAAATGTAAACATTTTAAATTTAATGAATTCATACTAAAGGGCATTGCAAAACTGATGAAAAAATAACAAATTTAAAATAGTGCAAAAAGTTTGAAATGCTTTCTTAGTATGTGTGTATGTATAGCAAAGATATTTCTTGTTTTGTCCCTTTATTGTCATCTAGGCCATTTGTTTTGCTGTTGGAAAATGATTAAGGAGCAAACTTTGTTTTTAGTTAAATGAAGGTGTATTAGAAGAGAAAAATAAAATGCACTGTTTTTTTTTTTTTTTTTTTTTGACCAGTTTATATCTTGCCAGGAGATGGGAACCTCTAATCAAAGCTTAGAGAATGTTCCC